AGTAGTAGTAGTAGAGTAGGAGTAGGAGTAGGAGGAGCAGCAGTAGGAGCAGCAGCAGCAGTACGTAGTTAATAGCAGCAGTACTAGCAGTCACGCACTCGTACTCGTACTTCGTACTAATACTACAGTATTAGTAATATGCATTCACGTACGACTAGTCGTTGCGCTGCTGCTATTGCTGGTGGTGGTGGTGGTGGTGGTGGCGGCGGTGGTGGCGGCGGGTGGACAGTCAGACAGAAAATGATGTGGCAGGCAGTCGGAAGGATGACACGTGCTGACATTAAAATTAAAAGTATCGGGCGACATCAGGAACGGAGGTAAGAGAGGTCGACCGTACAACGACGACAGGGGCACGAAGCCCCGCGCTTGCCGACTCTATCCATGTCCAAGGTGCACACTTATTCGAGGCCGGCTTGCTCTAACATCTGCATCTGGCGACACCCAAATCATTATCTGAGCTGCGGGTGCCTTCGCACGCTGGCTGCCGATGGCCTGCTGTCCGACTCCTTGAGCGGTACGGAGATGTTCGGCCCGCTAAGAAACTGTGTCGACTGATCGTGGAGGCTCTGCTTAGGTCGTACATGCACAGTTTAGCAGGATTATGCCGGTCTATTTGTTTGACTTCGGCCCGGACGGAACGCTTGAAGCAGCAAGCTGAAGGAAGCTGGCTTTCTGAATCTTGCACCCTAGAATCCTTCTGGAGAAGACCGCCCAAGAGGTTGCAGAGTTCTGCATTGAGGAGTGCAGCACCAGGTGTTTCCGCCACCAAGGACCGCAAGTCTATCGGTTCTGTAGATGCCAGCCATCCTCGGTTCATCACTGGTCTCCGGTATTGCTTGGGGACAGCGGTTGAAGTTCTCCCTGCCAGCGAGCTCGCATGAGCGACATAGGACGTGCCTACGAACAGGTTGCCAAGTCACGATACCAGCCTTCGAAGGGAGTGGCATCTGCGAACAGGTCCACAAGGTCCAAGGAGGCCTTCAAGGCCCATTCGTGGCTTGTGATGAGGCGACACTCAGGCACGATGGCCTTTGTCTCTGCAAAGCAACAGCCCTGAACCAAAACGTCGAGGAGCACGACCTTAGGATCCGGACATTCTCAAGAACGAAGAATACCACAATTCAGAACAAGCGTGCTTTGGCAAGACGCCCCAACCGCCCAGAGGTCCATGGCCGGGCGAGCCCGGAGCGGCCAACGGAGAGGCGCGAGCCCGTCGGCTTCGGCCAAGGCGGCTTCAGCCAACTCTGGGCTGCAGTAGAGGGGCGTGAAGCCGAAGCTGTGCATTGGCACGACGTCGCCCACAGATAGGCAACTTCCGAAGTCGATCAGCTTCCACAGCGACCCAAAGCGCATGATGTTGTCAGGCTTAACATCCAAGTGCACGAAACCGAGGCCATGCAGAAACTCCAAGGCTGCAAGAAGGGACCTGGCAACTTCGATGACGTTTGCCATCCGGATGAGGCCAGTCGTTCGCAACCACATATCCAGACTTTCATGTCCGAGCTCCAGGGCCATGTAGAACTTGCCATCCTTTTCCGGACCCGGGGTCCCAGCTTGATTTCTGGAATAGTCTAGGAGATTCACAAAGAGCCGCCGCGGAGTCTCGATTCCTGCTTCGTCGTGCTGGCCAGGCCCAGCAGGCCCAGCAGGCCCAGCAGGCCCAGCAGGCCCCACGCCCAAGAATTTGAACATGGCCACTTCCTTCTGGTAGCGTTCTTGCAGTTCGCTCGTTGCAGATTTGGCCCGGAAGGCCTTGACAGCAACAGCTGAGCCATCGCAGGCCAGCGCTTTGTAAACGACGCAAGAGCTCCCTTCACCGAGCAATCCATCGGCGTTGCTGCCCCTTCCTTCGTCTCACCGGAGCGAAACACAAAACTTTCTAACCCTCGGCCTTCCTGCACCGTGGTTTGCAAACTCATGTCGCGGCCATGTCACGACAGCGTTCCAGCAAGGGTGTAGAAGTCGCAAGAGAGGGCTGCATAAGTAGCGCGAGAAGCGTTCACGGAGCGTGTAGGCATGGGAGGACAAGAGCACGACATGCTGCACTAATTCGCAGATTCCGAGACACTGCTCTCTCGGACTTTCGATGCTGCATCCAATGCTGTCTAATGCTGGCTGGCTGCTACGCTTGCTGTAGCTGCGGCTGTTCCGGTACACCTCCGTGTCTTGCTTTCGCTTCCTTGCCTGCTCGAGATTTAAGGTGGAGGCTCGCTCTCGCTGTCTCTATCTCACGGACTCAGTCACATGCTGTGTGTGAAGGGTACAAAACGTTCGACCTTCATGCCGTTCCGCCTTCCTTGCAACTTGAACTGAAGCACCAGCGGTGATGATGAACTGCTGTCAAGCGTTGAAGCCGACACAACGCCAGTGCAGCCACAAGGACAAGAGCTGGAAGGGGGGGGGTGTGCGGGATGATGGCGTACCCAGGTGTTCTCAAAGTCTGACGGGCATCGAAGCGCTGCCACACGAAGCAAGAAGGATGCCTCACAGTGACATATATGGTGATCTTGGATTCAGCCGAATGCCTGTACAAGCTTAGGCCGGCACTATACGCAGCAGGCAGTATGAATCGGCTGCAGCGTAGACCACCTCGCTGTCCAGCAAAAGCCGCTACGGCAGTCAAGATCATGCCCGGCAATGCAGTGCACGCCTGTACAGGCGCAAGCGGGCGCCGCCGCCAGTCAGAGCATTGCAGTCGCGACTTAAGATCCGCCGACGCATGCACGTTGCAAAATGCGGACCTGACTCCGTTCCAGGGCACTCCCAGAGACATGCACACGACTCCCCAGCCGGCTTCCCACCACTTCGCTACATCTCCCTAGGTCTCCTGCCATTGATCCGTCAATTTTTGGATGGGACAGCCAAGACAGTGGGCCAAAGCCTTCCACTGGCAAACTTAATCTACGCACTATAGTAGCACGGATGCGATTTGTCTCATGTCCTGCCTGAGTGTCGAGCGTGCACCTGAACAGCATTTGTGTTCCTTGCTGCTCCAGCACACTGCGAGACTCCAACTCTCGCGACCCCCATCGGCCTGAGGTCAATCGAGAACTCCTTCGTGTCGCTCGGCGCACAGAAACACAAACGAGGAAGCAGCTCCCTCCGCCACATTTAAGATCATGTAAGGTTCTGCCACGTCCGTCCTCGCGCAACCACGAAATGTCGTTGGCTGCTGCGTGGAAGACCTACTGCCACTGGAGCATGCGCTGTCTGCCGCAAGCTACACGTCTTTCTGTCCCTTTCCCTCGTTGCCTTTAAAATGCTGGGGTTTTCCAAGACCTGCCAGGCTCTAGCGACGGCTGGTCATCCGGTCATCAGTCCTCATCATCAACCCAAATCCAAGCCTCGCCGAGACTGCACTTCACCTGCACGCGTCTCTCGCTACGAGCGCGGAACATTTCCATGGCTAGACCACGGCAGTCTGCTTCGGTTCGCGAGAGCATTGCGAATATTTGTGAATGCGTTCATACCTCGCCCCACAAATCATTGTTAATTCGAAGGTCCGGATGATTCTGGGGCTGGTTCTGCTGGTCACAACCATTTGCTTCCCCCCCCCCAAAGATCCACCCTTTGTGGTGGGTATACACGTTATTTGCATCCATACATTTTTCGTATCAATATCTGTCTAATGAAATGAGAAATCCTTTGCGCAGGGCATGTTGTGTGGACAAGACCCAGGAAGCCAACATAGTAATCTATACATATCGCTATTATCCCCCCCCGGGTTATCCACCCTTTGGGGGGGGGGCGGGGGAAAAGGTGTGTTGGACCGAATGGTCCGCTTGCCGGGCCGCGGTGCGGCATCCGGAATCTTGGAACTCCTTGAACAAATCCAAGCTTATTTAGTAGGGATGCGTACCGCGAACAGAATACCTTATAAGATACCTCCTGTACATACCCTATAGCATACCTTCTACAATACCTGCTAGACTACCTTATAGGATACTTTATACTGGTCACCCGATATTGCCCGATATAACCGTACATATACATGAGAGAATACCATCAGGAATACCCTGTTGAATGCCTTACAGACGTCCGCCTGTATATGACAACCTCTGTATACCTTACATATACCCTATATAACACCTACAGAATACCTATAGAATACCTTATAGGATTCCCCCTAAAATCCCCTATAGAACACCCTATAGAGTACCCCATAGATAGGGATTCTCAATATGGAAATCCAGTCGAAGCTAAAGATCTGACAAGTCCCCAGTTGAACTGTAGCTTATGGGTAAGGGGTGCCCATGAAGGAAATCAGGAACCAAGACGAATGGCCGTAGAACTACCTGATAGAAGACCTTACAACTACCTTACAGAATACACCCTCTATGTATGTTAAACAATTTCGTACAGGATACCCTACAGAATACCTTTCCAAATATAGACTACAGAATATGTTTTGTACAATACTGTATGGGATACCCTACAAACTACCTGATAGAATGCCCGATAGACATTCCCTGTAGTAGAATACCTTACAGAAGACCGCATATGTTATACCTTATAGGATGTCCTTTACAATACCGTTTAGGATGCACTTTAGAATACGTTGTTAATTAAACGCTGGCCAACTGAATAAGGGGAAAGAAACCGCATTGCCTATAGAATGCCTTACAGGATACCCTTTCTACAAACCCGAAACAAGTTCATGTAAAATACGGTGATACCTTATAGAATACCCTGTGGACCTACATATATATATATATAGATATGTATATATATACACACACCACCTTCTTGTATATACATCCTGAAGAATACATTACACGCTACCGTATTCAATACCCTATAGGCCCTATAGAATGCCCAATAGCGTGCGCTAAAGAGTGCTTTATATAACGTCCCCGAATTCAATAGAGTCTATTGAACTCAATAGGTCAATAGTGTTCACGGTACAGTGTTCCTTAAAGTAAGGCTCAAACACAGAAATGCATGTACACACATTTATATATATTATATATATGCTACTCCTATCGGGTTACGGTACAGAGTGCTCTTTAAAGTAATGGGGGAGCTAGATAACTTGGGGGGGGGGGCGTGCCGAAGTTGCGTTTGAGACTTTGTTGGAGCTCAGAGAAACAGTGAGCCCGATTGAAAACGATTGGACCGATTGAATTTCAATCGAGCCCTGGATTCAAGATTCACGATTTCTGGAAAAGTCTTCTCAGAATCTTGAATCCCGGTTGAAACCGATTGAAGCGATTGAATTTCAATCGAGCCCTGGATTCAAGATTCAAGATTTCGTGAAAAGTTTTCTGGTGATCTTGAATCTTGAACCCAGGGCCCGATTAAAGTTCAATCGCTTCAACCCATTTCAATCGGGAGACCCAGGATTCAAGATTGAGGAAAATTTTTCTGAGAATCTTGAATCTTGAATCCAATGCCCGATTGAATCTCAAGTCCTTCAATCGGTTTCAATCGGTCGACTGCCTGTACAACTGTTGTCTCAATCCTCCCCATCCAATACCCACCAAAAAGGGTGGATCTTTGGGAGGGGGGGGTACCAACCATTTACAACCACAGTGAGCCGTGCACGATGGCTCAAGATTTTCTTTCTTTGCTGACTTCCCGGACAAGGCATGCCGCATTCAGTCATCCATGGTGTTCCATGCTGGTTTCACCTCCATTGCTTACTCACCTGGCTCATCGTCGTACGAGGCACAGGATACATGGAGTCAGGCTTGTTACTGGCATCGACTGCGACACCAGAAAGCAAAAGTTGCATCTTCCCAGGGCGCAGAATATCGGCCCAAGCGTGATTCTCACTCACATGGGGTCTCCAAACTGAGAAAGGACGGTTGCCAACGGTTGCCACCAGTGCTAGTGTTGTCCCATGTCCTTGCTTGCACTTCTGAGCTCAGAGGTGCCCACCTGCTCATGCGAGAAGCAGAGGCTGTCCACCAGGAAGGCCTTGCCACCGGCCTCCGAGCACGGGCTGCAGGTCAGCCACATGCAACAGTTGGGCTCGCGATGCTAGGTCATGCTGATGCTGCATTCTCTCTTGAAACAGCTTCACACTGCTGAAGGCAGAGCTAGCGTGAGTACGCATAGACTTGAGTGTCCAGAGCAACCAGTGAGGAACCAGTGCCGATCAGCATGCCTTTGCGGTGGAGACTTGGATCAAACATACATAACCTGCAAGAGCAAGGTGCTAACGTGCTGGCACTGAAACCTTCCCAAGGCAACATGCTGGAAGCACTGCCAGACTGCCTTTGTAGGATTGTAGCCAGTGTCGCTCAACCTTTCACTTAAGCGTCGTTTCGGAAAAAGGCACAAGAACGAAAGGGTTTCAGAGGCCCTGTCATCCACACCAACGACGGAGCTTCTGGACAGGACATGGCTGCAGCGTTGAAGAGCATCCAACGTGTCGACCTGTGCACTTTAGCTACCCAAGCAAGCGCCGCATAAGCAAGCAGGAAGTTCAGAGCCACAACAAAGCTCCGTGCAAATTCGATGCAATTCTCTGCGCTCAACGGCCGACATGTCTCCAAGTCGGATGCCTTATACGAATCAACATGCCGTTGAGATGTATGGTAAGGACAGCGAAGCCGCCGACGCCTTCAGGTCCAGAACTTGCGTCTTTATTCCACAGCTTTTGGCCTCGCAAGCGACTCCCGCGAGCATCAAGAGCAAGTTATCCCAAGAAGTCCAACCATGCCTTGTATCCATCCAAGGCATGCCGCAGTTCATCGATTTGCATGCCAGATTATAACATGCATGTCGAGTCTGAACCGGACTTGCTTCTGCTGGAGCTAGGCAGCTAGAAGTAGCATCTACAGCCTATCCTACCATGGCACGTGTACAGACAATGCATAGCTTGAGCCAGAACACACAGCACAGAGGCCCCCACTTCGCGGAAATGGGACCTCTCACTTCTCCAGATCTCTCTCTCGCTCTGTCTCTCTCTTTTGGATGCACATGCTGGGATTTTTACGCCCCTGTTTTCGCACATCGAAGACCGGCAAGTTGATGTTCTGTCAGGCCGATCTCCCAGCCTTTCATACCTTTTCCGTCTCACCTGGCCTTGCCGCTGGTGACGGACTTGACATAGGATGCCTCAGGCTCAAGAGATTCACGGCTGCAGCTTGTGTGCTTGTCAGACGAACTCCAGAGCCGCGAGTCTTAAACTGCTTGCCCAGTGGTAGACTGGAAACGGCCTTTGCATTACTTCAGGAGGGCAGTCAGTTTTCAATTTAGCGCTGAGCCGGTGATGGGAGAACATCTTTTCCAGAGCTTGATGCGAACGCGTTGACAGATTTAACAACTGCAAGCTGAATGCTCCAGCAGCAATTTCTATCATGGCTCTCGGAAACTTGGAGGAAGTAGCGAAGGGTATCTTGCAGTAAGGCACGCAGACTTTTGCCACATCCCACTTGTAGTCGGGGAGGACCGCTTGGAAACGGTAGACATAGTACAGCACCTGTTGTGCAAGCGGCCCGCTGGCTAAAGTCACTCTACGAAGGCACGAAGCATTGCAATGCATTGCAGAGGCGTGGCACCCAGGAACAAGTCACCAGAATCAAGAGGAAAGACCTGTGAACGGCTCACGCCGATCTCAGATCAGCTGCAAAGAAACAAGCGTTGAATGTCGGTCGCACGTCATGCCAGGCCACGACAGGAAGACGCGGTAGTTGGCAGGCTCTCTCCTAGAAGGATCTGGAAGGCAAGTATCCGTGGTGACGGCATCCCTAACAAAGAAGCATTCTGCCAAGATTCTTTTGCCATGGCTGAATGAGGGTGTTCTGCGTTGCACGCTTGTTTCTATCCGGAACCACACCTGCGTACAGAGTGTCCTTCAGAAGAAGGATGAACTCAAGCGCTACCTCGCAGGATTTGTAAGCTCGCTGAGTTCTAGCACGTTGTAGCACTGCTGAAGTTGCAAACGTCTGGGCAGCTCCAAAGTAAGCCAAGGCGCAGCGTTGAGCAACAAGTCTCCGAAACTTGGAGTGGCCGCAAGCCAGCGGCACCCGAGCCACAACAGATAAACATTTATCAGGTAGCGTGGAACAATACAAGATGCCATCAGCACGGCTTTGAGCGCACCAGTCAAGCCGACGACCACTTCACATTCTCCCTCTCCTTCGACGACAGCATCACGCATTGATGAGATCCTGCTGGCCGGAGAGATCATGAGGCCAGGCTCTTTATAGTTAGGATTATTCCTTGTCACTTGCTGGTCACTTGCTCATTGCGCTATGGCACTGCGGTGCTATAGCGGAAGGCTGCAGTAGGATGCTGATCCATTATTAATGCCCTTCAAGCTTCGTTGGGGTGGCCAAGATCAGACGAACAAACAGATCTCCGCATCGTCGCAGGTCTGCCACGACTGTAAGTGTCCAGATGAACCTCGCAACTGAAAAACTGGTGAAACACATGGCGAGCAGCGCTTCAATTCTCAGCCGGGTGGCAGGATTGGCAGCAAAAGCTGTGGCTGCGAGAACCTGGTATGGCTAGTAGGGAGTCTAGACGTGTAGATTCAAAAACAATCCAGGCTTTCAGTCCCAGGTACGGAATTCTGCATGCGGAAGCCTGCTCGCTCTCGGTTAGCCGGCTGAAGTTTGCAGGGTCAAAATATGTTGGATCCGCTCCGCGCGGGAAGCCGTTTTCGGTTAGGTAGATATGAGACATCTCCGCGCCATACATGACAAACTCATAGCGTCCATAGATCTGCCGGATTTCGGTAACTGCTCGGCTCGCCACCAGCTTCTGCATCTGCAGAATAATGAATATCTGCAGAAAAACCACGAAGAGCATTAGCAAAAACGAGCTGGACAATCGCGAGATCCGAAGAAAGAGGCTTCCCTTTCCTTCAATCAAACTGTAGGAATCTCTCACTAAGGTCGCAACCCCTGCACCGTAGACATCTTCGTCCAAATTCTCGGGTTCTCGGTCCACAACTTCGAGGTCGTTTGAAGGATAACGCCTCTCATAGTAGCGCAAAAGCACTACTGCCGCCAGGCCCATGATGAAGGACCCTGGAGCAATGACTCCCAGGACGTAGGCTTCTGGTCCAAAGGTTGGTTTTGCTGGCAGAGGCTTCGATGATAGCTCGACTGCCAAAGCACGCGAATGCTCATTCTTTTTCAGAAACTCCGACCCTGTCTGAGCGAGCAGGGACAGAAACAGAACGAAGCCATGTGCAAACTTCATTGCCACTTCACTACTGGTATCTGATTCAAGACTTGAACCAGACTGCAACATGGTCAGCAATCAAGAACGAACCAAAACTTTGCAAACCCATCGCCAGTACCTGAAGCTGAACAGCCCGGAACCAGCCAGCTGTGATCGAATCCTCCAGTCTTGGTCTTGGACGCCGTGTAGCCTCCCGGACTCCCTGTGGCTCTGCGGTTTTGAAATGCTGGCGACTGCAGGAGACAGCGCTCCGGGGCTGAGAGCCGGTGACGGTACCCAGTACAGCCACTTCCGGGACTGTGTTCCGGCATGCAATGAACAACAAAAAATCTCTGTTCAAATCCCTATCTGTCTATCTATCTAAATTCATTATTTTCTATTCGGGTAAAAGAAAACTTTGGTCTAGTCTAGGCATGTATATTCACTTCGAACTGCTGCATGCCATGTCGTTGTGGCACTCGTCTTCATGCATGCCGGAGCTTTCCTGGAAAGTCGCATCAACACGTTACGTCAATACGCTAGCCGTGGTCGTTTTGTGTCCAAGCCACCTGCTTGGTCTCTCTCACGGCACTTCTTCGCAAACGCTATAATCAACGCGGAGTAGTCTGAATCCAGACGCTGGGGAGCAAAGTTCTCCAGAACTTCCTGCTGCACCCAAGGTTGAGCAGACTTTAGAAAGTCGAAAGCCCGGTCGTCCATCGGGTATCTTTGTCTGAACATTCGGAGGGCACTGTCATCGCTGGACCGTGGGAAGCCATCTGCATGCAAGGCATGTGCTCCTCTGAACCGAGGTGGCGGAGGTGGCGGAGGTGGTTGGTGTGGCTGGTGCCAAGGTGGCTGCTGTCGAGGAGGTTGGTGGCCAGGTGCTGACAGACTTCGGGGCACCTGGAGGCCTCTGCCCATTTGCGGCACTCGCTGATCGCGCATCTTCTTGCAAAAACTGATCAGCAACGCAGAATAGTCTGCCTCGCCTTCCCGTGGAGGCTTAAAGCTCTGCAACACCTGTCTTCGCACTTCAGGGGGCGAGCTCTGCCTGAGCTTTGCAAGAGCTGAGCAAGCGGTTTTATCTCAAATCCAGGAGGAAAAGCTCTCATTGATGGTGTCGTGTGGGACCAAAAACTCAACCAAAGAAGCAAAATAAGGGGCAAAGGAGCAAGTAATTGTGTGTGTCATCGTCGAAAGGGTACCGGTCACGAAATGCTTCGTACTCTCGTCCTGGCGGTTCACAATGGCATTGAAGCACTGATGGACAAGCTGCACAAAGCATGTCAGCTGCACCGCTTGGCCCGCGGCTGGTCGACAGGTCCAATGGAGGAGCGGCCTCAAAATGCAATTACCCAAAGCGTGCTGCGCATGACTGTCTCAGGAAGCTGTCGTTCTTCATCGGCGCAAGATTCTTGGATCGAACTCGGCAAATCCAGCAGCAAGCGCCAACACGTCCAACAGGCAAGAAGAACTCCGTTCCCAGTACCGAGCGAAGCCCGGACCAACGACGAACTGTGTTGCTCCTTACGGTTTCCACTGTTGTTGGTTACATGAATGTCACCCACCCCGCTTATTCTAGCTACCTGAACCCCGTTCTTCGGGGTCCCCTGCAAGGTTAGGCGGTGAGGCACTCCCACCCCCGTCCCCGCCTCCCCACACCCCCCCCGAGATGTAACCTGGGCGTATAGCAGGTCTACAGACAACGCAAGAGTCTCTTTTTGTCACCGGCACACAGCTGTGAGTATGATCTCTGCTAGAACCTTGAGCAGGAAGCATAGATATATGCAAGTGGTACGTGAAACACACATGCACCTGGATGTGTAACATCAGCGTTTCAACCGCCCTCCACCCTTCCCCCCTTCCCTCCCCCTTCGCTCCGCGAATGACGCGTTCTTCGTCGCCTTTGTTTGCAGACGGTTCGATGCAGACGACGCGAAGCGTTTACAGTTATTTCCGGCACGCTTTGCCCCTGACGTTGCGACACCTCTTCGCGAAGCTAATGACCAAGGCAGAGTAGTCCTGAGAGTATCTGAATAGTGCTACACTTGTGCCTGTCGCTGCCATCATTCATGCGGTGGCACAGCAGTCCTCTTCGCCCTCCCTCGGAGGCTTGAATGTGCGAAGTATCTCTCTTTGGACACGAGGCGGTGACGAGACAATGTACCTGTGGGCGTCCTCAAAGCACGTGGGCAGCTACAGTACCGTCTGTGCAAGAGCGCTCGGCGTGCATCGTAACAGTCTCCTACGCTCTCTTTTTGCTTCCTTCCCGACATGAGTCCGAGCAGGTCGGAGCCTCGGAGCCGCGCCCGGGCCCACCCCCCCGAAGGAGGCCCTGGGGAGCCAAGGCCCGGTTCACCCCCGCGGTGGCAGCTGGGAGTGAGCTGGCGGGTGGAAAAAAAGAGAAGCAGAAAAGCGGAAATGCTGAGAAGCATAAATTCAAAAAGAGACAAGCAGAAAGCAACAAGCAAACAAAAGAAGAAGGCAGAACGGGAAAGCAACATCAAACCGTAGAAAACCAAAAGCAATAATGTAAAACACGCAAACACACACATCTCCGTCGTAGACCCCACTCAACATCCCTCAACCCGAACGTTAACGCGCACCTCGGCCTCATGCCCACTCCTTCCGCGGCTCAGTCCTTGGCCCCTGCAGCCACTCCCCGATCAAAGTGCTCCGAAAGTATGCGGCTGCTGCCTCTCTGTCTTCCTCTCCCTCTGCCACTGAATCCGACAGCGTGCTCGCAGCTGGCGCCGACAGCTGGGGTTTCTGTTCTGGCTGCTATGGTCACAGGCATGGTCAAAAGACAGTACCACAAGAATATGCTCTGTTGCCAAGCAGTTCAGCGAAGCCTACGGCAACCCATCCCCTCCCCGGCATCATGTCGCGAGTGGCAAAGCTACCCGATACTCCTCTATTTGGACATGTTATCCTTGCACAGACGAAATGCTCGTGCTCTCTTGCTGGCTGTACGACTGTACGGTGTGTAAGATTCGTTGCCAAAGCTCGAACGTTGCCAAAAGTACGCAAGCCTCAAAGATGCTGACCAAGGACATAATTCCACCGGAGGCGTAGTCAAGACAGACGGACGCAGACAAAGTACGTGCATCCTACCGACAAGCTCGCCCAGACACAGACAGCATGTCGTGAAATCTCTGGCATAAACCCCGCCTGCATCCAAAAGCTTACATTTTCATGGAGTACCGACGTAGGTAGTATAGATGCCCAACATCCTGCCAGAACAGTGTCTAAGTTGAATACGCAACATTGGCCCGTGTTTCATTCAAGGCTTCCGAGCAGAGATGAGTACAAAACTTTCCAAAGCCACCAAACAAAGCCTGTCTTTGCTTCCCAAGCCCATCCTGCCCCCGCAGCTGCCCTCTTGCCGCTCGGCCTGTGAACCAAACTTGGGGGCGAGCAATACGAAACAATTCCCAACAATTCGCTGTGAGGAGGGTCGCAAAGAACCATAGCTTCTGCAGGATGCGCTGCGATCTTGCCAGAAAGCAACATTATCTGTCCAGCTGAAGACGATGCAAGCAACTTGCATCTTGGCCGCTATTGGGTTCACGGCTTAAGTAAGCCAGAGCGGAATCTGAGACATGCCACAGCAGCGTGCTCTTTCCCACCTCTGCAACCTGACAAGGCCCCTGTGTGGCTTTCTTGATGCCCCCGGAACCCAGTATCATCAGCATCATTGGCTCCTCGTTTCAATCTTTAAAATCCTCTTGTTTACGCCGCCTTCCAACTCCATACCGTGGGGATTGGTTCCTCTTGTGGCTCACCACGCCGGGCACGCCCTTGGTGTCCGACTTAGCAAAGAGGGCTGAACACTGATTCGCAAACATGCCTCCCAACAACAAGCATCCGAATCACACTAAGCACACCCTCCAGATGCTCGCTGAAGCAGTCGAGCACTGCGTCCTCATCAAATGGATATCTGTCCCTGAAGGCCTGCGGGCAGTGACAGGCTGCACCTAAAAGCAAGACAGGCTTCTTCGGCTTCCTGGAAGCAAGCACGACTTGTTAACATCTTTTCATGGCCGGCGCCTGCAGCTCTGCTTGAGTCAGAGACACATCCTGTTCGAAGGAAGGCGGATAGTCGGGCGCCTGAGCCAAGCGCTGCTCTGAAGACGAGGGGGAAGGGAAAAAGGGCAAAGCCCCGTGCCCCTGCAAAGCTGTGCAGCTGTCGTTCTTTCACAGACCTTAGCGACGTCAGCCCTTCTGCTCATCTCTCCCCACTGCCCACAGCAGCCAAATTTCTGCCGCCGCTTCTTGGTAAATCCCATTATCAGCGCGGAGTAGTCCTGCATCAGCTCCCCAAGTGTTACCATTCCAGCAAGCACCAGACATTGATGTTTTTGCCAGCTGTCCTCCTCCCCCTCCTGACGGGGCTTGAAGTCACGCAAGACTTCATGCTGAACCTTGCTGGCAAGAACATACCCACGAAACGTTCGAAGAATCGTGCCTGCATCTCACATGTCAATCCCACAGCTCAGACGGCTTGAAGTGTTTAGGCTCTCACAACTCGGACATGCCAGGCGAGGTTCACAGGTGCGGGTGGGCGTGAAACCAAGTGTTTGAGTTTTCAGGTGCTTCACAGGACAACTTCCACAACCGGTCGAACCAAAACCGATCTAAGCGGCCAGCTCAATTGAGGGACCATGATGGGGGACGACTCCACACGGATGTCCCTATGATTACTTCAGAATTGCTTCCTGGTGACAATGCTCCCAGCAAGAGTTAAAGCTGAGTTTCAAGTCTAGTGCTTGACAGACCCGCCCGGGCAGCGAAAGCAATAGTTGGACTCGCTGACCATGTGCGACTGGCCTCAATGCTGGAATTCACGATGTAGTTGTATGCCTTTGCAGGTAGTTTCTTCAGCCTTGATGGTTCTAGGCGCAGACGCCAAGCACATCTCATGTGTCCATGCCGAGCAACATCGTCGTCGAAAGGGTATCTCGATCGGAAGTGGTGCAGATCAGATGCTAGGTCCTCATCCATGCCACCTGCACTCAGCGTTTGTATTCGAAATGGCGATGAGCAGGACCAGACCGGCCCCCGGCGTTCGGGCAGTCACGGATGCCAAGCCATACCTTGCCCCTTTCATTCTTAACGACTCTCCCGCTGTACGTTTGAGCAATGCAGCCACAGATGCGCGCAGCGGGCGAATTCTGATCCTGGCGTGCTGCACACACGTTTAAAGTTTGGTCGTGCCAGGTCCTCTACATCGCCAAGTCTTGTGGAACTGGCGTCAGCAACCAGGCATCGCTTCTTGCCCAGATGGTACATGATGGCACTGAACACAGACACAGAGTACACGGGATGCTATCCTGCTGCTGCCTCTTTCCTCTGCTCCTGTCTTTCGACTGTTCGAGCCTCTGTCTAAATGGCATGATGCTGCTTACAGCCCTTTGCTGATGAAGCTCAGCTCGTCGAAGCAGCAGGATGCGACCGAGCGCTTCCAAACCTCGTGATCTTTTGGGTCTCCTTGAGGAACTTGAGTAAGACGGGCTTCGATATCAGCTACAAGCATCTCATCGCCGTTCGGCTCATCGTAGATGCCTTCCAGGAGGCGAGTCAAGGCCATCGGATAACCGAACGGTCCCCCATCTCGTCCTTCCTTTGCAGCTTTCTCCCAAAGCATAGCTAGTCCTAGTTTCACTTCTTCCCAATCAGTGCTGCCTTCCCTCAATCCCTGCATCCACTCCTCTCGCGCAGTCTCGGTATCCAGTCTCCCTGAGAGCGCCGTGGCCTCTTCCAGCTTTTCGCCTCCTCCCCATTGCCGCCACCCATTTCGACAAGTCAAGCCATGACGCCCAGTGTTTGGGACGTGACGAAAGCGAAAATCCCCTTTGGAGAGATAAGCTGCGAAGCAGAGAGAGGAGCTTGCTATGGCAAGCACGAAGATTGAAAGCTTTGACTTCTTTTGAGCCATGCAGGTAGCGCGTTGATGTAATCGAATTGCACCTTTTTTCGCGCTTGAGCCATGCTGCGGCAAACTTCCAGCATCCGTAGAAACAAACTCCGTTGCAACCCAAGCTACGTCTAGAAGGCGGATACAAGCAAGAACTTCTCAATTTAGCACATCCATAGACATTCGGCAAGGAGTTGTAGAGTTTTTTCGCGAAACCCACTGCTGCCTGCACAGATAACACGACCGCGACAGATTGACGACCTGGCTTTCCGATCAGATGATGTTATCCAAGATAGTGCAAAATGAGAGTCAGGGACCTCCGGCGGAACTTTAGAGGGTGGCAGTTGGAACAAGAGACTTGGGTGCCATATCGTAACACCAAGAACATACCTCGTCGTCTTGCCATCATTCCATACTTCATGGTCGTAGGCATCGTCAAAGACCAACATCTGGCCAGCATGCGTGTAGTTGATCGTTTGGTTGGCCACTCGAATGCGTGATTGGTTGGCGAGCGGGACATGCAGTGCCAGATGAATGGTGAGCCGTCCATCATTTCCGAGGTGCGGCAGAATATGCGACCCAGGAGTCAGCGCATAGAAGTTCACGTACATTGGAGGCGAGCTCTCTGACGGGATGCCCGCTCTGTGGCTAAGCTTTGGCCATAGGCTATGGTTCAGCTCCTTGCGCCACCGCAACATGTCACAGGTTTGCTTTGCGCAAGCTTGCTCTCCACACCATCGCTCGTTCCAGCCCCCCCTAGCTGAGTGCATCAGATTCAGCCCTGTCCAATTGAAACGAGAGCCAACGAAAAACCAATCATTCGCAGAGTCGTCAAATGCACTCGGCGTGCGTTCCAGGCACTTCTGTAGATCAGTACGAATGATGTGCACGGCATGTCGGAAACGTATTCCGCGTAGCCATTTGGGCAGTCTGGGGTCTTTGAGGTTCCACCACGGCATGGTCTGAAGCCTCGGATGTTGCAGATGCAAGTGTGTAATCGACAGGCCACAATCTTTTGCATACCTCTCTCCTTCCTCCCATTGCCCCAGCTGCTTGAATAGTAGAACAACTTTGGCGTTACACATCTGCCCAGAAAGTTCCTCGGCTTGGAGGAAGAGAGCAAGTGATCTCTGAGCTGATCGGAGCACGGGGCGGCAGAGGTCGAAGAGCGCGTCGGCCAGGCGAAGGACAGAGGCCGGGCCAGGTGCTGAAAAGCGGAGAGCCCCCTCACGCACCGTGAGCAGTGCCCGTAGGATCTCCGGATTTCCGGACTGCTTGTACACCGCTTGCAAGACCCAAGCGTACTCCGACAAGGCTTCGGCATGCCTAAACGCTTCCACATCACCGACGGGGTCCCGGGATTCTCGTGAGAGCAGCATCAAGGCATGCCGAGCAGGAGCCAGGATCTCCGAGGGAGTTTGCTGCCAAATCTTCTCGAAATGGCTGCGCTCGCCGCCGGGTGCACTCAGGTCAAAGGGCTCGCAGTGAAGAGCCGCTGCTCTGGGCAAAACAAGAAGGAAAGCGGCACCAAACGCACGGAGACCTTTCCAGAATCGAAGTATACTGTAGCACATCCAGCTGCAATCATGCGCTGCTGGTTCACAGCCTGCCCTGACCTCGCCGCTTCGATGGGCTCGCCTGCCAGTTCATTGAAGCCGTGACTTCGACGCGTTCAAGCTTCATTGGCTTGCACTCCGGTTTCCAGATACAAGCATGTTGCGCAGCTTGAGCCAAGAACCCTCCCCGACACGGTCAGGACCGGACCTTCACCACAGATTGTTGCAGCGGCAGCTACATCGAGCGCTAGGTTCTCGGATCCGCGTTCCATCGCGATGCGGAACTCGCTGCCTATGAGAATCAAGAATGCAAGAAGCTCCTTACAAGCACCGACTCCGTTGCGAAACCAGAGCTTTGCCGAGTTCACTTGCTGGGCTCCGCAACTTTAAGGCGCGCAGGGTTGCAACGCCGTGACACAGGTTGCCTAGGACAGCTCAGTCAACCGGCCGTTGCTGCTAGTCGAATTGAAATGCATATGAGCTTGCAGCACAAGACATACATGCTTTTATCCTGTCATTCCTGTACTCCGATTGCTGCAAGTCCATCGCGAAGGATGACTGGACTCGAAATTGTTCACATCACAGCATACGACAGGGGGCAGTGGGCGTTGCTCACATGAACATAGGTTCTCTGGGCATTGCCAAAGGCCCAAGGAATGCATGCAAACCAATTAAAGCTTCCCAAACGGTGGAAGCTGCAGTCCCGGAGCAGGATGCGCAATGATTCTATCGAACATCTGCCCACAAAAAAATCACGGAACACAAGAAAGGACTGTGCCCAATCAACAAGCTCACCTGGACGGCTCGGGCCCCACTTAAAGCAGGAGCTGGAGCCTCGGTTTGGGTGAAGCATGTCCTCAAGGTATGCGCCTGCCGGTGAATTTGAGGTGCGTGCCCAGTGGAGAGGCATCGTACTGTCCTCACTGATCGTCCTGAGGAACTGTCAATACCTCAGGATTACATCGCTGCCGCCCATCTGACAACCCAAGGAGTCATGCTGAAAGCCTGCGATAATATGCATGAATGCAAGCCGGCCACCGGCACTTCGTTCACAAAAGACGGCAAGTAGCTGCCATCTTCAAGCTTGACCTAGTCACATCGCAGGAGAAACACCGTTGCTGCGTCCTTCACGGCACAGACTGCAACTGAGCACTTTGCCCAGCCGTCCTCTTCATCATAGCCAAAGACGACCGAGAACCTGATAGAGAACTCTGCATAAGACCTGGCACCTGCAACCAACATGAGGAGTCGCAGGATGTGCCAGAGCAGCCGGCCATGGCGCCACAGGTCGGGTGATATCTTGATCCTCGCGTCCGCCCATCAAGGCAGGGACTGCTGCGAGACATACAGGCCTACGAACAGTCCTCCATGAATTTCGTGTTGCGGTAGCTCAAGCCATCCGTCCTCAATTGCAACATGAGTCACACAGCGGTCCATGGTACCGGCCCAGAAATCCAGCAAAGGATCTGTGCTTTCAACCATCTGTTGTCCACAATGAACTCCTGCAACAGTTGCTTCTCTCGAATCAGTCTTTCCAGCAGTGCCGCCATCAAAACACCTCAGAAGAGCGAGTCCTGCAGCTGTCGTCCATCTGCTGATCTTCGCTGCCGCTGGTGACTTCCCGCCGGAGCCGACGAATCGGCAGTGCCACGTTCTTGATCCTCTTCCGCCCTGAAACACAACGGCACCCATGCTTCTCTGCGCATATCCGTGTGTCCCAACTGCATGAAGTGCAGAACACAACCTCGAAAAGAGTTGAACGTCGACTCTGTAAGTCCCCTGCAAGTCTCCGTATTCGTGTTCCTGCCAGATCCCCAGATCGGACAAGCAGGATTCCAACTTTAGTGCTGCCAGATATATTTTCGCCTTTGTTCGGATCTCCTTTGCTTTCTGATACTCCTCGAAAACCTTGCATGAATCTTCATGCTCGACGCCCAGTCAAGGCACTGCAGCGCACCTTGACTTGAAGATCGGCGGACCTCAGCCAGGACATGGCTTTCGTCCATCTGTTCTGCATCCGTGCCAGGCTTCTCACATAGTCGTCAGCTCATTGCTCGCCTCCGCAATGGATCCTCCCGGGATGTGAACACTGATTCAAAGGCTATGAGAAATGAGCCACAAGCCTCCTGCGTCTGCGACCTCAGCATCGCAAGTAATGGAGGATGTCAGTGCTAGATACTAAGGATTCAAAACACGTTCGGGTAAGATGGCTGCCTGGTGGAGGATCTCGAGCCTCGGCGCTTTCGCAATGTGACAGTTGATCGCATGATGAGGCGAGTTATGGCAATCCCCTAGCAATCCAAGCCTACGTGCTGTATACAGTTGCACTTACATGCACATGTAGACTCGTTTTATCACGGGTGTCGCCTGCACTTTGAGGTCTTGACCTTTCGGTGTTGACGAGATTCGATTCACTTGGTGCACTTTGGTTAGCTTCAAAGGCGGTGTTTGCCCGGTATGTTCGATAATTGGTGCACTTTGACTAGCTCGGGACTCGGGACTGGTTCTTACCTTCGGACTCGGCATTTATGCTTCGTGAACTCTGTGCACTTTGACCATCACTGCAACGATTGTGACCATGATCCAAGACTAGTGCCTAGAACTCCAGGGCCACTATGTAGACCGCATCCCACCCTAATTGCACCACCCTCCATGCAATCATGGCAACGTCTCTAAATGCTCGACATGTTCTGAATTGTCTGCATGCCTCCCGGTCCACGTACGGGAACAAGTCGCGAACCACGCAGTTGTCTTGGTGCGCGCGCGCGCGTGGGTGCGTGTGTGTGTGTGTGCGGCTATCTCTATATATTTATATTTATATTCTATTTTTATTTGTATTTTCTCTCTCTCTCTATATCTATCTATCTATCTATCTATCTGTCCATCTATCTATCTATCTATCTATCTATCTATCTATATATATATATATTGTGTGTGTGTCTGTCTGTCCGTCAGTCCGTCCGTCCGTCTGTCCGTCCGTCTGTCTCTGTCTTTCTTTCGGCAGGGTTAGGGACAGGGGTTGCCCCCTGCCCGCGCGCCGTCGGCGCCCCCGAACGTTGCGGAGGGCAGCTTGGGAAAATCACAGCATGCACCACTGAGGCAAGTATATTCAAGATGAACGACAGCGTTACATCCGTTACATCAAACAAGGGCAGGAGAACGCAGCATGCAATAAGAAAACCTGCTAGTTCACATACATGGCCTCGCGTTGGGGTGCTCCTCATGGCAGAGGTAGGGCCCCCTAAAGCAACAGCAAAGAAATTAGGAAAAACCCTGGGGAACCTGCTGAAGACAAAAAAACCTGAAGAAAGACCAGGAAGTCGCCCTCCGAGTATTGCCATGAGAAAGGGGCAGATGGCGACTTAATTGTATAGCCCCGAGCGGGGGCACGGCGAAAGTGTGTACGGAGGCTCCTGCGGCCCGTCATATAGTACAGGAAAGAGTTTCCTACGGGGTTTCCCCCAAGTCAGCATGGAAAAGAGCTGAGAGAAGGTACTCACATGGAGTGAAGTATGTTACACATGCATGCCACTGCCTGAAATGAGAAAAGTTTTCGCACCTGAGTGTCACGGTGCCAATTATGGTAACCCCCAGAGCAAGAGGAAATGCCACTCTCAGGTCTCACCCTCGATCACTTCCTTCTCGTGGTTGTCGTCGTCGAGGCAGGGGGGATCCCCTCACGTCATCCGCTGGCGGTGCCCTTCGCTTTGGGAGCGGAGAGCGGGTTCTGTTGCTTCCTGGGGTATTCCCCCGACCAAAGCCGGACCTGAAGTTGTGACGGTCTTTGGACCAGGTGCCTTGCGCCCTTGGTAGCTGGGGCCTCTTTTGGCAACGGAGGCAGGAAGGAGTCCCCTCCTGTGCATGTTGCACAGTGCGAGGATGCCAATCTCCTTGTCCTTGCCACAATCGCGATCGTTACAGAGAAGTTCTCCCCCACCCAGAGAAGTCGAAGAGCAACGAGTTTGCCTCTAGGAACAAAGTCACCGAACTCGCTGAGGTCAACCCCCGTCGCGAAGTCGTGTTGAGCAACGTTCGTGACGTAGGGCTCGATGGCGGCGCGAGGGGCAACAGCTAGAAAGGGCCACTTAAGCCACGTGCGGCGGGCGAAGGACTCAAGCACCGCAGGAGTCAAGTGAGCTGGCTTCCAAGGGGTGACACCCCGAGTAAACCACTCACCCCCCTCCCCGATGCAAAGGGGTGTCACAGACCCCTAAGCAAAGGTGCGGCACTTGAGCCAAAATGGCTACTCTGTCTCTCTCTCTCTCTCATTTTCTCTCTCTCTCTCTCTCTCTCTCTCTGTCTGTCTGTCTGTTTGTCTCTCTGTCTGTCTGTCTGTCTGTCTCTCTGTCTCTCTGTCTCTCTGTCTCTCTGTCTTCTTCGACACAGCCAGAGAAAGGACCCGTCCGAGCCCCCTCTCGCGCGCGGGCGCGCCCTGCTGGTCTTGGGTCGGCACGAACTCTACTCGATGAGGCCTGTGTGTTGAAACCGTGGTCCCCCTAGCCCTATTGAACCCCCAGGCCTCGTCGTTTAAGGAGGACACCAGCTCTGTACATCAAACTCGCGTCTTCCAAGCTTGGCAACTCTTTACTGCCCCGTTGCCCCCGCTGCAGCAAACAAGCAAACAAGACAAGTAGACTACTACTGAAGTGCACAACTTCCCTACTGGGCTTCGGGCTCCCCCGTGACAGGCACGAACAAGCATCAGCGATTACACGACTTCTCCCTCTCAACTAACAAATCACAACACTTGTGCCCCACGGCGTAAGAGTACATGTGGCTTGGCGTCCTCCCCTAGTCTACCATGGTCCCCCTTCGTTCAAGTCTCGGAAACAACGACACTAAAGGTACAGCACAGGACCGAACTACTCGGGTGGACCTCTGGGTGCAAAATCAGCAAACTGAGGCCCCGGCAACTGCAAACAGACTCCCTACATCAACTGCTGAAAACATGTGTGAGTGCGACCTCAGTGCTACGGCTACCCGCGGTATGTGCAGCGCTGCAGCGGCCTGAAAACCCCCTCAACAACCTCACATGGAAACGATGCAACCTCACGAGCGTTGCCCCCCTAGTCCCCTGCAGCGTGCGCTCTGCGGCGCCTATGCTCAGCGTCACTGCCCTCTGCTCTCAGTGGGTCTTCGACTTGCGGGGAACACGGCTTCTCCCCCAGCGCCCCCTGAAGCGCTGTGCTGTGCTGCTCACCCTGTGGTTGTGGGAAAGCTTCCCCCGAGCTGCTGCTGGGTACTGTTGCTTGGTTGGTGGCCTGGGTACGATGTGGGTCACGCTCCCACGGGGGGACATAGTCCGCAGGGACAGTCCACGGTGGTGGTTCGTAAGTGTCTGGCTGCGGTGGCTGTTCTTGCTGCGGCACTGGCTGGATTGCCCCCGTGAGTGGCTGTAGTGTTCTCCCCCAGCGGCTGCGGTCGGGAGGGGCACAAGACCCTTGTAGCACTAAGACGGGTATAGTGTCTGTAGCGGCAGAGTCGCCGTCTGTGGTGGGCCCGCGTGGGCTGTCGCGGTTGCGTGGGTGGGTTCTTGCCCTGCTGCCGCTGGGTCGGTGTGGCCTGGTTGCTGGTACTGCTGCGGCGGTTGCGCTGCTGCGGCCGGGTTGGCTAGCACAGGTTGCTGGCACTGCTGCGGCGGAGCTGCCGTGACAAGGTTCGCGTGGAGGGGCTGTTGGCATGGCTGCTGAGTGTGCGGCAGCGCGGTTTGCATAGGGGCGTTCCCCGCTGCGGGCTGCATGTGTCGTGGCATGGCTGCTGGTCCCCCCTGCGCCGTGGCCGTTGGGAGCGGCGGGTGGTACGTGAGGGTGTATCCCCACCTGTTGGTGTCTGCCGGTTTTGTGTACACCAAGGGCTGCTGCTGCTCTGCCCCCATGCGAGTTGCTGTGCCGTGCTGTTGCCCCTGCTGTGTGGGGGGGTCGTCATCTTCATCCTCGTGCCAGGGGTCTGCAGATGGCAGGGTCATACACCGGTGCGTAGTATCAGGCGTGTTTAGGAGTCCGGCCCGGCTGCATCCCCCCTGTGCGCTGCTGTGGTTGGGTGGGTTGCCAGGTTGTGCCACCCCCTGTCGCTGCTGGCTGTTGCTGTGTGTGGTCTGCGCTCCCTTGGGCGATCCCTGCCGCGGTGTAGCCCCATTGGGCGGGGCTAGCAGTGCTGTGTTGGGGCTGTCCTCCCTGCTGGTTGGTTTGCCCAGGGCATTGCTGCTGTGGTGGCTGTTGGTGCGGTGGAGGTTCCCTGTTGCTGCGGCTGGGACGGTACGGGGTCCGAGGCGGTTCCCCCCGCGGTCGGTTGTTGCTGGCGTTGCTGCTGCGCTGCCGCCCCCGGTCTGTGTCTGGGTACCGGTGCTTGTGGTCCCGCTGGGTCCCTGCCGCGCGGGGTGTGCTGCTGGGCTGGGGCTGCTGTCGCTCCCGCTGCTGCTCCTCTGGCTGCTGGCGCTTGCCCCGGTTGCTGTTGCGGTGGCTCCTCCGGTGGTGTCGTCGCTGTGCGGTGGCTGGCGGCCCCCAGCTGTGTCTGTGTTGGCTGGGTCGGCGCTTCAGCTTGGGTGTGGCTTGTGTCGGGGTGCTGGGCTGGCGTCTTCCCTTGGTGTGGCGTAGTTGCTTGGGCTGCCGTATCGTCCTCCGGTGGGGCCTCGTTCAGCCCCTCGTCTTGCTGCTGTCCGCTCGGTTGGTGTGTGGGCTAGTTAAACAATACAACTCTAAGCGGTCACGCTTTTCCTCGTTGAACCAAAAGGCGCTGCACGGTCACATGCATTATACATGCCGTAGCCTTGGGCTCTCCAAAAGGTGTGGGGATAGTACATGCTACTATACACATTCCCATCTACAAATTCTA